AGGAGATCCACATACCCGACTGGGTGGGGCTGTGGGCTGTGCCTGCGGCTGTGGCTGCGGCTGTGCGGCAGCCTGGGATCAGCGCCCTGTGAGGGCCAGCATCAAGATTGTGGTGTGGCGGTGCCTTACGCGCCCCGCGCGTGCCACACCAACACACATGGTCCATGCTCAACACACCCTGCGCCCGCAGGACATGTTTCACAGCCGGCACGACGCCGCACTGCTGCACGCCACCGCCCGCGCCATCAGCGGTGAGCGACCAGCCTCGGCAGCTAGGAAGCGCGGGGCCGCTGGCGGGCAGCGCCTGCCAGCATGGCTTGAACCCCGGCCTGGCTGCCATGTCTGGCTTCTCTGATGGCAGCCCGCTCGCCTCGCCACCTGCCAGTGTGCTTTACTCCTGACCCGCTGAGCCTTTCCATGCTTTCCTCGCCCCGCTTTCCTCCTCCTGCTTTCCTCCCTGCCGCAGGCGGCCCCATCTACATCTCCGACAAGCCAGGCCAGCACGACTTTGCCCTGCTGCGCCGCCTGGTGCTGCCAGATGGAACAGGTGGGGCGGGGGCTGTGGCTGGCTGCGCTGCCAGGCACATTTAATGTCTGAGTAGAGCCTGCCACAGTGCAGTGGTGCCTGTCTCGATGCCTGGCTTGCTTCCCCTCACCTGACTGCCTGTCTGCCACAGCATACCCTGCAAGCAGGCAGCAACCTCTCGAGCGCGCTGCCGCCTCCTGGCTGTGCCTGCCCGTGCAGTGCCGCGGTGCCTGCTGCCGGGGCGCCCCACCCCTGACTGCCTGTTCTGCGACGTGAACAAGGACGGGGCCACAGCTCTTAAAGTGTGGAACCTGAATCCCTGCGGCGGCGTGGTGGCGGCCTTCAACGTGCAGGCGAGCTGGGCGGCTGGGGGCGGCCTGGGGTCTGGTGAAGGCTGGGGCAGCCAGCATTGGCTGGGAGGACCTGCAGGCTGCCATGTTGGGGTGTGGAGCGGCTCTGGCTCTGGATGGGTCCTAAGCTGGCTAGCCAGCCAGGGAGAAACTCATCTTGCTCGGCTTGAGACCAACAAGCTGCGCCCCCACGCCCACCTGCACTGTTCATGGTGCCGCTTGCTGAGGCCTGCCCGCATCCCGCTGCCGCCCCCGCAGGGCGCCTCCTGGAGCGCCCCCCGCCGCGGCTTCCACTTCCACGACTCCCAGCCCCCAGCCGTGACGGCCCACATCAAGCCGGCCGACGTGCAGGGGCTGGCGGCGGGCCCCACCCCCGTCTCTGGTGGCTCTGGCGGCTCTAGCAGCGCCAGCTTTGCGGTTTGGGTGGACGGCCGGCAGGTGAGTGGGAAAGGGGAGCTCCCAGCCGGCTTCCTCAATCCACGCCCAAGGGTGTATTCTATCTTTCTTTGTTTCGAAGAGGAGCACCCTGGTGTCGGTGGCTGGGCAGCGGGGCACAGTCCACCGTGGTGATGTCAGCACCCCACAACACACCGCATGCATCAGGCGTGGGAGTCGGAGAGCATCACATAGGCACTGGAAATTTCCCAGCTGAGGTGGTCTGCTGGGGTCTTTCCATTGCACGCATGCCTGGCCTTCCGCGCTGGTGGCTGCCGGTGTGTGTGGTGGGTGCATGCATGGGGAGGCTGGATGCTTGGGGGGGGCACGGTAGGGTGCGTTCTCCACGTGGCGCACATGCCGCTGCACAGCCTGCCAAACCGTAGTTCAGCTGCCGTCCTCCATCTCAGCCCCTCCCCAGCTGCCCAATTGGGCCCCTGCAGGAGCTGATGGTGCTTTCCTCCTACCAGGCCGTGGCAGTTGAGCTGGCCCCTGGCGGCGGCAGCGACATCCTCACCATCTCTGCCATCCGGGAGAGCGCTGGCACGAGCGGGGCAGGAGCTGGCGATGCCTCCGCTGCGTGCGACGGCGAGGAGGACGCCGCGGGGCTGCCACGACCCATCCGGGTTGCTCCAATCGGCCTCATCAATCTGCTGAATGCCGGCTGCGGGGTAACAAGGTGAGCCCCGGCACGCAGCTTGCGACAGCTTGAGCTCGGCGCAGCTTCAGCTCAGCGCTTGAACACCGACCAGCAATGGCATAGCAGGTGCCGCAGTCAACTCGCCCCCCCTCTTGGCCAGCCTGCAGGTGCGGGTGGGAGGATGCGCCTTTGGAGGCCCCAGCAGACGACAGCGGCGGTGGCAGCTCTGCAGCTGTCCCTGCCACCGAGCGCCGCTTCCGGCTGACCACGCGCGGCGCCGGCACGGTGCTGGCTTACAGCAGCGCTCGGCCCGCGGCCGTGGAGGCGGCCGGCGGCAGCGTGCGCTTTTCCTATGCACCATCCCGCGGCACTCTGCGCTTTGACACGCCGCCCGGCATGCCGCTGGTCATTGACTGGGCTGTGGTGTTTGGCGGCTGACGCAATGTCAGTGGCACGGCAGCGCTCTCGGAGAGCTGCCACCGGCTGCCCCAGGCACCAAGCATTTGCATTGCTTGCCTTGCATCTGTGGTACACAGCGCAAACCAGCCTTGGGAATTGCATTGAAATCGTGTATTGCTCACCAGTAGCGGCATACATGTGAAGGTCACAGGGCCCAGTTTGAAAAGAGCGCTGCAGCTGGCAGCCGCTGGCAGCAGGCTGCCGCTCCTGCGCCACGTTGCGCAGCGCGGGAGGCGCGGCGCCACTTCCACAGAACCTTTAGCGCAGATTAATGGAACGCACATGAAAGATAGCTCATCTGTAGAACTCAGCAGGGCGCAGCACGGCGGGCGGATTGGCGCGCTTTGCTTGGCCTGCCTCCAGAAGCCGCTCGTCAGCCTGCTTTTCATTGCTCTGTTTGGCGCCTCCCAGAAGTTGGGGAGGCACCCGCCACCCAGCCACTCGTGCTTCCTCCCCTGCGCGACCTAGTGAACAGCCCTTCTCAGAACCGCTCCTGTCGAAGTGAAGAGCCCTCATTTTTTGGGAGATGGCCGCCAGGGCGTCGCGCAAATACTCGTTTGTCGCAAGCATCGGCGCAGTGGCGGGCCTGGCGCTCTGCTGCGTCCTGTCCATCGTCGGCAACTCGCCGTCGCTGCCGACCAGAGTGAGCTCTGCAACTCAATAGCTGCAACTCAATAGCTCCCGGCCGGCATGCAGAGCAGCAGCAGTTTGCTCCAGGCAGGTGCATCAAGCAGCCGGCTGCGCCCGCCTGCAGGAGCAGCGACGGGCAGCGGAGGGGCACGCCTGTGAGCGGGTGCTGGTCTGCGTGCTCGCCCAGACGCGGGGCCACCGCGTCACCTGGCCAAACTACAAGTCCCACTTCCTCGACAATCTGTGCCCCGGCTCGCCAGAGATCGTGGACCTGGCGCTGGCTGTCGCCCAGGAGGCCAACACCACCGGCAACGGCTTCTACGCGCACGCCCGCTACGTCTGGACCTACCCCGAGGTCGACGACTGGGGCGCCGCGTTCGACGACATCCAGCGGCGCAGCAACTGCAGCGGCGACTGGCGCAAGCTGCTGCAGCTGGGGGACCAGTGGCTGGGCGGCATCCGCGACGAGCGCCACCAGCACCCCGGGTCCGCCGCCATCCTGCTCTTCTTCCGCTGGCTGCTGCTGCACAACCTGGCGGCCGGCGGCCTGCTGTCGCGCTACGACCGCTTCATCGTCACACGCTCCGACTACTTTTACGGTGTGCTGCATCCGCCCCTCAGGGTGCTGCCGCCGCAGCACATCTGGATCCCCGACGGCGAGGGCTGGAGCGGCGTCACCGACCGGCATATCGTGATTCCGCGGGCCCACGTGGCCGCTGTGCTGAGCCTGCCGACCGACATGGTGTGCGACAGCGAGGCGCTGCTGGAAAGCATGGCCCACAAGTCCAACTGGAACCTGGAGCAGGTCATCAAGTTCCAGCTGGAAAGGAAGGGGCTGTGGCCGCTCACCCGCTTCTACCCGTACGTGCCGTTCACCACCCGGGAGCCGGACGAGGCGTCCCGCTGGTTTGGGGGCGCCTATGTCGAGGAGGCGGGCATGGTGATCAAGTACCAGTCTGAGTATGAGAGGTATGTGGCGGGCGCCATGCCGGGATGAGGAGGCTGGCATGCATGCACAAGCGCTATCTTGGCGCCGCCTCGTCCTCTCCCTACCTTCGTGCTGGGGCTGGGCCGCCGAGGGAGTGGCTGCTTGCTGCTGCTGTGTAGGCACAAGTACTTCCGGGAGATCATCAGGAGCAACCAGGACTGGGAGCGGTACATGCATGAGCATGCCAACGACACTCTGGTGAACAGGAACTGAGCCCTGGTGTCCTCTCCAGCTGCCGCCGCCTGGCGCGCCCGTCGCCGGCTGCCTGGCAAGTGCCGATGACTGAGTCTTGCGAGTCTACGTTATTGTAACCACCGATGCGCTGTTCATGTATTCAGGAGGAGGTTTGGGGTGGTGGGCTTGATGGCTTGTGGGTGGCGCAGACAAAACTGCCCGGCGCTTTGAGTGCTGTGGCGGCGGCAGCTTGGCGACCCACTCACAAAGCCCCGCCCGCCTTCCTCCGCAACTCACACCCTCGTGCGCACCGCGTGTGGGCAGTGTGAAGGGTCAGCCGGAGACTTATCCCTCGTTTTCGAATCCGCCATGGGTGGCTACGTGTCCTGAGCTCCCCGGGGCGAAACCAGAGGACGACTGGCATACAGGGGTGCGAACGGAGCCATCGCGCTCGACACGCTGCCCGCATGGACAAAAACGTTGTGTCGCCCTACGAGCTGGCTGTCCTGGTCGTGAGCTACTTGGAGCAGAGCGGCTACCGGAAGACGGCGGCCAGCTTCAGGCGGTGAGGCTGGGAGTTTGCTGCCGTTCCGAAGACATTGCCGCCGCCGCCGCTGGCGCGCCCCGTCGCCCGGCGCCACACACAACCGGCTCCTCCCTACCTACATCCGTGCTGCAGCGAGGCCAAGGCGTTCTTCCGTGGCGTGGCTTCTGCGCCGCCGCCGCCTGGGGTGCGCAGCCTGCTGGATCTGCTGAACGAGTATGTGCAGCTGAAGGAGCGCAGCACGCGGCGGCTGGCCCTGGCAGGGCGCAACCCGCTGGCCGCGCGCCTGCTGGCTGCGCTGGATGCCGAAGCCGGCGAGCAGCAGGGCGCGGTGGAGGCCGCGGCGCAGGCGGAGCAGGCCGCGCAGGCGGCGCAGCAGCAGGCCGCGGTGGCGGCGCAGCAGGCGCAGGCGCAGTGGCTGCGCGAGCAGCAGGCCGGGGCGCAGCCGCCGCAGGCCGCCATGCCGCACCATTTCGTGCCGCTGGGACAGCACGCCCACTTTGCCGCGCAGGCAGGCGGCCAGCTCTACGCATCCAGTGCCGCGGCGGCGGGCCGCCAGGGCGCCGTCACGCCGGGCAGGCAGCGCAAGGGCGCGCCCCGCAAGCGGCAGCGCGGCGCGGCCAGCCCCGCGGGCGGCGGCGGTGGCGCCGGCGCCGGCTTTGGCTTGCTTGGGGAGGTGGGGGAGGCTGGCGGCAGCGGCAGCGGCTGGGGCTCTCCTACGGACCTCCTCAACCTGCAGCTGGATGCAGAAGGGCTGGAGGCTTTGCTGGATGATGGACCGCTGCAGGTGGGCCGGCCCGCTGTGTGCGCTCTGGATCGGCTGCGCTGCCGTGGGTGTGGGCTGTGGCGGGCTGGGAGCACAGGATGGGGCTTGTGCCGGTCTTGCCCGGCTGAAGCTGACTTCCTGCACCAGGCCTGAGGCTCGCCGTGCTTGAGATCTTCCTGTGAACGCCACGTCAGCCCGTTGTTAAGACCCGGCCTCCACCCTGTGACGCGCTTCCCTGCCTGCCGCCGCCGTTGCCGCTGCCGCCGCCACCTCCGCCCCGCAGCTGCGTTTCGCCGAGAACCTGGCGCAGCACATCAACGACAACCTGGGAGGCGGCCAGGGCGGCGTGAGCTTCGCGCTGGACAGGCCGGGGTCGGGCAGCGGCAGCGGTGCGGGTGAGGTGGCGCCCCGTGCCGCCGCCGACGCGGGCGGCGGCGACTCTGGCGGCCAGGGCGGTGCCCGGGGCAGCCCCGACGGCGGCTTCATGGCAGAGCTGCTGGCTGACCCGCAGATGGTGCTGGCAGAGCTTCCCGCAGATCCGCTGATGGCTGAAGTGCTGCAGGCGGTGGTGCGCCCCTCAGCTGCCTCGCCCACGCCGCCATCGGCAGGAGCGGGCTCCCGCCCCGCCTCGCAAGCGGCGGACCGGTGGCACCAGGTGGCGGCGGCCGGGGCGGTGGCGGCGCCTGCGCACGCCGCGCCGGCGCCCCGCGGGCGGCGCCAGAAGCAGCAGGCCCCGCGGGCGGCCAGGCCAGGCAGCCGGCAGCAGCAGCGGCAGGAGGGCGGGCAGGAGGTGGGCGAGCGGGTGCAGCAGCAGGGCACGCCCCCGGTGGCGGCAGAGGTGGTGTTGCCGATTGTTTCCCTAGAGTCGCCACCGCAGCCGCAGCAGCTGGAGCAGCAGCAGCAGCAGAACAAGGAGCCCCAGCAAGAGCTGCAGCAGCAGCAGCGGCAGCAGGAGCAGGATCCAGCTCCGCCGCCGTCCCTGCCTGGGTCCCTAGGAGGGCAGCCCGGTGAGGCACGGCCAGAGGCGCCGGAGCCGCCAGCCGGCGGCGGGCAGGCAAGCCAGGCAGATGGCTTGCCCGCCCAGCAGCAGCAGGCTCTCGGCCCGCCGGCCACACGGGAGGTGCAGCAGCAGCCGGTGGCGGCGGCGGCGGCAGGGCCCTCCACACAGCAAGGCGCCGCTGGCGGCGCCAGCGGCGGCGGCGCAGCGGCAGGGCCCGCGCCAGCGGCGCGGCCCCGCAGCCAGCAGGTGCTGCTAGACTCTGGCCTGCTGGCTGGGCGGCCGAGCAGCGCCAGCAGCCCTGCGAAGCACGGGCCCAGCCTGCCCACCAGCCCGGTGGCGGCATCGAGCATCCTCGATAGGGCGGCTGGCATGGCCCATGCGACCGACCCCACGCAGGCGGCTGCCCAGCGGCTGCTGTGCGGGCTGGAGGGCCTGGGGCCTGTGGAGGTGGCTGCCAGCGAGGACCAGATGCTGCAGGACATCGACGACCTGTTCTAATTGCCGCACTGATTGCTAGCAGCAACGTGAAGGCCCTTGCCCCGGGGGCAGCTGCAGGTGGTGTTGGGGGTGTGGCCATTAACCTCGGGGTGCTGCCTCCCGCTTGACGCTGGTCCTCGTGGCATTCTCCGGTTTTTGACGAATTTAAACTCCGTGGATACTTCCCCTTCAACTTGCCAGCAAGGCCCTCGACCATGATTGAGATGAGCACCGGCATCATGGCCCCGGTGCTCCCATTGCGTTAACACATGATTCCGGTGGCGTATACTGATCCGTTGGGGCGCAGACACCTACAAAAACCGACAAACTCCTCCCAAATTGGCGCCCAGAGCAGATAGCGCATCAGACCGGAGGACTCCGGTCGAAACACATCAATCGCATTTTCTACTCGCCTGCATCTGAAGGCCAATCGCATTCGCTGGGCTTCTGCACACCACAGCTCGAAACCTCTGCTCGCGTGTGCACCTGCACCCGACCACCGCAACCCGCTGCTTCCCCCTCCAGCGGCACCCAAGTATGGGCAACTGCGTCTCCAGCAAGCAGAGGGTGAGTGGGTGGCGAAGGCAGAGGTGTGGGGGGCATCTCCGCCGACAATCGCAGCACTGCGTCCTGGGCCTCTGGCGCCCCAGGACAGCCGCCGCTCCAGGGCGTGTGGCCATCCTTGCACCCCCCCAAATGGTCATGCCCACGCCCACCCGCCCCACACCTGCACACACAGGTCCTGGAACAGCCTCAGTGGGACGCCAACAGCAGCTCCACGAAGCTGGGCGGCAGCAGCGGCAAGTCTGACGGCGGGTACAGCGAGGGCTACAGCCCGCCCACCCACGCGACGTCCCGCGCCGGCCCGCCGCCGCCGCGCCACCTCCCCAAGCCCCCGCCGGGACGCAACTGCTTCTCACTTGACCTGCAGCGCCCGCCCCCGCCCCCGCATGCCCGCGCCAGCCAGGACGGGCGCCCCGGCGTGGGCTACAGCTGCGAGCCATGCAGCAGCGGCGCGGCAGACGTGCCGCGGTGCACGGTGGGCGCCGCCGACGTGGCAGCCCTGCTGCGCGAGGTGCACGTGGGAAGCCGCACCGGCCAGTGCGGGCGCTCGCCCCTGTACACGGGCGTGTGGCGCCAGCGCCGCGTCTCCATTATGGTGAGCGGCGGCCCGGGTCGGCCTGGCATGCAGGCGGTACATGTGCGGTACATGTGCCAAACAAGCTGCTTGCGGGCGGGCAGGTGCTGCTGCCTCGACGTGGCCGTCGCAGCCGTTGGTGACCCCCGCCCTCTGCCCCGGCCCGGCCCTCCTTCCCGGAAAGCAGGTCAGCGAGCATCTGGTGTCAACAGATGATGATGTGCGGCGGCTGCAGGCGCAGGCCGCGGCCGCCGCCAACAGGTGCGCGCCAGCTGGCCCACCAAGCCGAGTCGCCAGCCTGGCCTGCCACCTGGCCTGCCGCCTCGCCCAAGGCCCGACCCAATCTGCCCCACCCCCACACACCCGCCCCCGCCCTGCTCCCCCCTCCGCTCCTGCAGCCCCGCGCTGGAGCACCCAAACCTGGTGCAGGTGCTGGCCTCGGCGGTACAGGTGTCCCTCGCGGAGGGCGCAGACGCCTGCGGCGACGGCGGCGGCGGCGAGGAGTGGCCGCGCAGGGTGGTGGACGTGTGGGCTGTCATGGAGGTGCGAGGAGCTGCGCTTGCGTGGGCGCTGGAAAGCGGTGCATGGATGCGCGCTGAGAGCCAGCCTGCTCTGGAGATCTCTCAGCAGGTCCCCCCAGCGCCACGTGTAAGCTCGCCTGTTTAGCAGCATTCCACTCCCGTCCCCTGCCCGCAGCACTGCAAGCAGGGCAGCCTGGAAGCCGCCATCGGCCACGACTGCCTCAAGCAGTGGCCGGCTCGCGACGCGCCGCCCAACCTGCGCCACATCCTGCTGACCGCGCGGGTGAGCCGCCCCCTACCGCTGCCCTTGCCTGCCCTGCTTCCTTCCCCCTTTTTAGATTTACAGTCTGCATATCTGCACAGGAACTCGCGGCACAGACCCCTGCCTGGCTATTGAGGCGAACATCTCCACATGTGCTGGGCGCTGACGCGGCGCCGCCTGCCGCGCCTTACCCCTCCCCACCCCGCAGGACATTGCATCCGCGCTGGCCCACCTCCACCGCCACGGCATGGTGCAGGGGCAGCTGGACTCCAGCTGCGTGCACCTGGGTGGCGCCGTGGGGGGCGACCCGCGCTGCTTCCAGGCCAAGGTGTGCAGCGCCTGCCTCTGCCTGCCAGCCCTGGCGATGACCTGGAGCCGTACCTGCCCTTCCTTCCATGCCCTGCCCGCCGCCTCGCCACGCCCCCACACCCACCACGCTTCCCACCACTTTTGCAGGTCAGCACCGCCTGCCACTTCTGCTTCGACCGAGACCCATTCGGCTCCGACACGCTGGCCTGGGAGGCGATGCCGGCGTGCGCCCCCGAGGTCCTGATGAATGGCGAGCGCCACAGCCCCGCCACCAACGCCTGGTCTTTCGGCGTCATTCTGTGGGAGGTGCGCGGCACGGGGGGGGGGGGGGGGGGG